GTAACAAAAAATATTTTTCCCATGATTTTCTAAAAAAGAAACTTTTTTAAAATAATTTCATTTGTGAATAAGTTTTAAAGTTTAATTAAAATCCAACAATTAATTGATTTTTGCAAAGATTTTCACCAAAAAGACGCTAAAATAACCTATACGTTGAAATTTCTTACCGCCGACCTGAGAAAAACTTAGAAAATATATATATATATATATATATATATATATATATATATATATATATATATATATATATATATTAATGCATGTTTCATTAAATAATATAGACAAGTTTTGTCTATTTATTTTAAGTAAGTTCCTTTCATATCGTCTGATAAGCTTAATCGCATTATCGTTGAAAGACGAAAGGAAATCACCATATTGGTACATGTTTAAATCCAATCTAAGCTTTCGGCTTACATAAGCCATTATCAAAGATGACAATTTCAATAAATCAAACAACAACGAACGAAACAACAATGATAGTCCACCCTTGCTGCATGAAAATTTCCAAGTAACAACAAACTCGTATATACATGACCACGCGAGAGTGAAAACGAGAAGTATTAAGTATGGGAAGCCGTTGGTATAAACCAATGGCTTCTGTTATAAATTATAATAGCATTATCATTAAAAGATGAAAGAAAATCACCATATTGATACATATTTTTTAATCCTATCTAAGCTTTCGGCTTACATAAGTCATTATCAAAGATGACAATTACATTACAATATATTAACCAATACACGTACAAAACATTAATGATAGTCTGTTTTTGTTTAATGAAACATGCATCAATGAAAAATGCTGCCTAAATACACACAATTTAAATATATATATATACGTGTGTGTGTGTGTTCTGTCTTTATATGTATGTCTTCTTCGAGTACTTTTAACCGTCTCAGTCATTATCAAGAACAGACTGATGTCGTCAGCCTGTTAGACAAGATTTTGTCTAAATCCTATTATAGCGTTACAAAAAGTGCCTGTATACAGACAACACAATCTTGTCACCCATACTGATAACATTCAGACGGTCGAAGCTACACGAAAAAAAAAAAAAACTACTGTCACCATGCAGTATTGATTCCTATTATCTTGAGTTAGCTCCTCCTTAATTTCCTAATAGTCACTCGCGGTCGCTCTCCCTACACTATAAATACCGGGAGACTTCTTGCCTCGTTCTCTTTTGACATTGCATTTCAGCGGACACATTTAAAAATGTGATCTCTCGTAGAGATCTGCGTTTTTGTCCACTTTGTTGGAAAAACGCCATTAAACACACGTACACGTACGTACGAACATTCACCAAAATATAAACTCTTTATGTTCACACACAAATACAAATGTTGATGTCTTTGTCACTTGTAAATTTGTTGTTTAATACATACATATATATATATATATATATATATATATCGGTCTTGCTTGTTGTTATGTAGTGGTTTCACAGTGGAGGCTTGTATTTGTACTAAGTCGGTTCTAAAATAGGTTCGACGCACAAAACGTTAGGAACTTGATATAACAGTTAATGACACAGCAATCTAGTTGTGGTGGCTGATACTTTAATATCCGACTAACGGTCGTCCAACATCAACTGACTGACCAACTCACTCTGCGACTGCTACTACTACTACTACTACTTTTTATAGGTGGGAGTGTCTATTAACAATAGAATACGTGTGTTCCAGTACAACACTTGTTTTCTTTACCTTTTCGGTTGGACTGAACTTGAGTCCACCATGTTCTTGTAGTTGTACCTTCTTCTAGCAGGAATAAACACCACGTGTTCCTAATTTAACAACACGTAAAAACACGGTCCTCTACTCTTTGACTCCAATATAGAGCCATCGTCGCTTATAATATACATAAGTCGATCCTAATAATATAAAATATTAAAACTGATCCCCAAAAAGTCCTCAATGCATTTATTATAACCAAGGCATATAGATTACATAACAGAGATATCTAAAATTACCTCATGAGTATAGTCTATTTCAACTAACGTCGAATGTCTGAGGTAATTTAGGATTTCCTTATTATATATTATATATATATATATATATATATATATATATATATATATATATATATATATATATATATATATATATATATATATATATATATATATATATATATATATATATATATATATATATATATATATGAATATGAAGATTTTATTTTAAATCATCCATCTTTATTACTTCAAACGTTATTTTTCATGGATACCTGTGTTCATTTCTAGACTTAGTGGGGGAAGAGATAGGTGTGTTAACACTAGGGAAAAATGCACATTTTGTAATTTTATTACTTAGCGTTTGGCACAACTCTGTCTCTCTACCCCCCTCTCTCTCTCTCTCTCTCTCTATATATATATATATATATATATATATATATATATATATATAGGGAGCAAGAATTTCTTTTTACAAAAAGTAACATTATTAGGTCTACTATCCTGAATATCCCAGTAAAATAAATAAGGAAAATGTGCTCTACGGTAGGGTTTGAACCTGCGTTCACTTCGAGTGCACAGGTCGGTAGACGTAATATATATGAAATCCCAGTGCATTGACAATTCATTGAATTCCACCGAAAATTTAATTTTCGTCAGACTCTTTATAGCCACGTTGAGCTTTTTGAAATGTATGCACTCAGTTTTCGTTCGGTTATTCCTATAATATTTTGAGAGGGAGAGAGAGAGAGAGAGAGAGAGAGAGAGAGAGAGAGAGAGAGAGAAAGAGAGAGAGAGGTGGAAAGGAGAGGGGTGAAAGAAAAATAGAAAGAGATAGATATGCAAACTGAAAAAAAAAGCGTTGGAGATGAACAGAATGAGATACAAAGTCAACTGTTAGCAATGATCAAATCCATGCTATAACGAGGCTAAAACAGCAACTGGAAAGGCATGAACCAGCCTTCCATGCGCTCTCTATATACTGTTGCTGGAATGTCACGTTACTGGCATGCCATTTGCTTATGGACTTAGTGGGGGAAGAGATTGGTGTGTTAACACTAGGGAAAAATACACATTTTCTAATTTTATTACTTAGCGTTTGGCACAACTCTGTCTCTCTACCCTCTCTCTCTCTCTCTCTCTCTCTATATATATATATATATATATATATATATATAAGAATTTCTTTTACAAAAAGTAATATTAAAATTCTTACAGTGGTTAAACCACTATCACATTTTCTCGTAGGTTAACTTGTTACCGTAACTTAAAGTTCATGAAATTTATACACATAATCATCGCGTTACAAAGAACCAAAATACAAGACAAATGTTAGTAGATAATAGGACAATATTTTTGATATACGTATAAGATATTTAATACATTTATTTTCCATTCTTACCAAGCTCCTTAAAACCGTTCAACATATAACGCCAATAAAACGATACACCTACATTGGAATATACTATAAACCTACATCTTGAATTTGAAATTTTCTTCTTTATGTGCCTTCAGGACGTAGGCATGTCGAAGACAGTCTTGTTTTGTACTGGCAACGTTTAGTTCTTGATAATGGGTAAGATCGTCGAAAGTTAAAAAAACACAATATATATATATATATATATATATATATAAATTCCTAAGAGGATATATGGAAAACTCAATGTTCATGAAGAGGATATAATATAAAAGGCTCAAACAAAATATCAATGTTCATCAGACCTACAAATTAAAAAAAAAAGCTTTTTTTTTGAATTTGTAGGTCTGATGAATTGGCTCAAAATTCACTAATAAATTATAAAATCATGGAATATTATCAGACCTATTTCATATATAAAATAAATATATCTTGAATTTTTGAAAATGAACTGGCCACTCGTATTCGAGGAGCTAGTCTTATACAGACATTCGCTCAGGCACATTTGTGTTTGCTCAACACCCACAGATTCAGCTGTTGTTTATACCAATGTGGTAATAAACCTTAGTTTAAGATTCTGGAATATTAGTCTAGCGTGATCAACAAGTTTGAAACCCTCGGCCACGATGACTTTATTTGGGCTTTCATATATATATATTCCGTATATATATATATATATATATATGGTGCCTGAACACTTTCAAGGTGCCTCACGCTTTTGAAAATTCCGAATCATTAGAAAATCTCACTCATAAATGACAAATCAGTCGAGGATATATATATATATATATATATATATATATATATATATAGTGGACAATGCCATCCATTTTGTTCTGCTATTTACCCACAGCTAGAGGGAAAAGAGGATTAATACCTTTTTCAGTGTTATTAGCACGTAACTTGATGTAATGGATTCGACTGGAATTCGAACTCAGTTCTCCGATTCCTTAATCCGAGCCGCTATCCACTAGTATATATATATATATATATATATATATATATATATATATATATATATATATATATATATATATATATATATATATATATATGAACAACAAACAACAACGAAGTTTTGGAGAAAATGAAAACAAAAAGAAAACTGATACTTAACATCAGGAAGAGGCAGTAAAAATTTCTGGGGTACGTAATGACAGACCTATTAAGAACTACAAGTGAGTGGAAGATGTGGAGGGCCATGATCGCCTACGTCCTGAAGAGACACGGCACATAAAAGAAGAAGAGGGAGCGGAATAGCTTGACTTTCTGATCTTTGTTATTTTGCGGTGGGTCCTTATAAAATAAATTACTCCAGATCGGATGCGAGAAGAAATGCTAGGATTAACTCATCCAGTGACCGCTAGGCGGCTTATTTCATCAAGCAAGATTTACGGGATTATCTTTTCTTGGAAGGGAACAAAGCTTCGGAAAGAGATATGAAGGAGGGGCGGGAAGGGAAGAGGGGAGAGGAAGAAGAAGAAGAAGAAGAAGAAAATCGAGTGTAGAAGGAGGGGGGATCCATTGCCACACACTCACAAAGTCTGGGATTCTTAAAGCTCTTTTAGATAAAAGGCTGAAGCCCTCGGCATAAATCCCCAGGCTGTTATCAGCTCCTCCCCCCAAAGATGTCCGATGCTATCAATGATGGATCGGTAGTTGAATCAGTCGACGACCAAGTTAAGGTGTCATTATTACTTCTCTAAATTCTCTCTCCCTCTTTACTATTTCTTTCTACCCGCCCCTTCTACTTCTCAATTTCGCCCTGTGGGTCATCACACACACACACACACACACACACACACACACACACACACAAGCGCATGAGTGACTACTTAAAAAAAATCCCTTCACTTTCTCGCTGAATTCAGCGAGAGATCCATTTTACATGTAATCGTCCATTCTTCAGCCCGGAAGTATGTTCTACGCAGTCTCTCTGCCATAGATATATGTTTCCGCTAGCTGTCGGCATGCTGATACCTCCTTCTGACATCTCAAAACAACAGAAACGGTATTTTGATATTAAAGTCTCGTCTAGCCGATTCCTATCTATCGGCACCAGAGAAAATTTCCTTATCAACGCCTCAAGTGTATCTTTGTCACTTGCACGAAATATTTCTTTTTCTTTTTTATCGTAAATTCCTTTTTGTCTTTAATTTCTACTCTTTCTCCGTCTTCACTCTTTTTCTTCGAGCTTTTCTCTCCTTTCCATGTTCCTTGTTTTCCTTCTATTTTATTTCATATATTCCGATTTGAGTTGGCCTTGTGTCATACCAAGTGAAATGACATATAGAAAGGTTGATTTCTGCTAGTTTTCCATGTGGATACGGTTTGTCTACCTTTGTAATCAGCGTTTTAGATTTTTTTTAGCATATCTTAAACGCAAACCATTGATTCTAATTGTCAAAGGGCAACTGCTCCACCAATATAACAAAGTTATAATTGTTCTATTTAGCTATGGCTTCAAATTTACACAAGGTCAGAGGTTCATGGAGGTAGGAAGATTGTGTTACGCCAATCTTCCAAATTGAAAGAAAAACCTGAAACGCAGACATCTAGTTCTAGTGAAGGTATACGTAACTATGTCAGCAGGAAATTACACATTCATCTTTTAAAAATTACCCATCACCTTTTTAGCTTAAGGACAAGTAGGGGAGGGGTCAAATAAAGTAAAATGATCGGGTTGCACCATTTTTTTCCTAAATGGTGAAGGATTTTCTGTTTTGAGATCGACATTCAAAATCTTGGTTTAGAAGGCCGACTACTGGCACAGGAAATGCTCATCGATCTCATGTGCCTGTCTTAGCTTAAGTTAATTTGATACCAAATCATAATAGTGGGGTACCCGATGAGGATCGACATGTGTTCAATGGTCTGTGAGTAAAGTGTTCTAACCACTATTTCGCGGCCAAGCTGAGCACAGTTGAGCTCTAGCTTGTAATATTAGAACGCACAGTAATGGCTAAATTTACTACTATATCAAGGGCTACGAACTTAGCTTGCTAACCATCACCCTATTGGATGAGGTGATAGTTCCGCCTCTGTCCTATAACACTTACGTTTTGAAAATATATATGCAGATGGAATCTTTAATTTTTATGTGCCATGTCCTTTCAGGACGTGGCAATCATGGCTCTCCACTTCCCTCTATCCCTTGCAGCACTCAACGAGTTCCTTCACTAGGCTAGCTCCCTCAGACCACGTTCTGTCATCCGCTTGCTTAACTCCGCTAGGTATGTCATGTGTTGTTTTCCCTTGTCTTTTTTCCCCTATCCGACCCGTGAGTATCAGATTCTCCAGGCCCTCCTTTCTCATTACGTGTCCCAGAAACTTCAGCTGCCTCTTACTGATGTTAAGTATAAGCCTCGTCCTTGTTTGCAACCTCTCTAAGACCTCATAGTTGCTCACACGCTCGGTCCATGATATCCTTAGCATCCTTCTGTAGAATCACAACTCCGTCGCCTCGAGTCTCTTCTCCATCTTTGAGGAAATCGTTCAGCATTCACTGCCGTAAAGAAGGACGGATATCACTTAACAGCTCAGTATTCTTTTCTTGGTTACCAAAGAAATCCTCTTGTCTCGCAAAAACTCTGCCCGGCTTTTGGAATGCGTCCTTGGCCATCCTAATAAAAGCCTTCTGTCGCGGAGTTGAAAATAAAGGTAGTGCCAAAAAAAAAACGCACATTAAAACTTGACTTTGTGTTACATTCCGTTGCAACGTGGGCCACTGAAGAAATCCTATATATGTAGATGTAACAACTACTCTGAGACAGAAGTAGTATCAATTATTTTTTACTTGAGGTATAAATTTTCTTTCATTTGGGATTGAACTCGTAACCCTTCAGATAACTAGCTACATCTAACTGATAGTTTTATCGATTCGGATTTTTTTTCGTAAGATAATGTCCATTCATGGAAATCTTAAAGTCTTTCCCTAGGAAGAATTAATTGATATAAAATTATGTTTTATTATGTATTTTAACAACATAAGATATGCAATATTAACAGCAGATATAGAACAGGAACTGCAGGATCTTCTACAGTAAGTAATAAAAGAAAGCAAGAAGAAAGGACTAACCGTCAATTAAAAGAAGAGAGAATTGTTGTCAGTCAGAGGAACTGCCAAATATATAAACTGCGAATTGGAGGCACCAAAATTAAGCAAATATGAAAAGGCAAATATTTGTTTGGTTTGGTTTCGTTTGTTTTACGGCATGGGTTATTTAATGCCATAAGGGGTGGGTGGATGTTTTAAAAAAAATTAACGAGCTTTTTGCAGAGAAATTAGGTTTGGTTTGCTTTGTTTTATGGCATACCATTCTCAATGGGTTATTTAATGCCGACAAGATTTTAATTGCTGCTAATATTTTATTCCAAAAATGTATTGTTGGTAATATTTTTTAAAAATGTATTGCTGGTAATATTAGATGAGGATACTAGTTTTCTTTGTATATTAACCCTAGAACACAATTATCAATTAAAGTTACACCACCACTAACCATGGGCATATCATACCCGATTTTGAAAATAAAAAAAAAAAAAAAAAACAAAAAAACATTAAATATAAATCTTTTTTTGAAATATTTTACATGCAGGCACTTCAAACTTTGTACTTTGAGTTAACATTAATAGGAACTGAAAAACATTATGCACTATATACCAATGGTTAGTATTCTAGGGTTAAAGATAATTTCTTATATCAGCATTTCAGACAGAAATATCAACAAAATTATTCATTTTCGTCCATTCATCTCACCGAATGACATTGACTAGCTCGGAATAACAGTGTGAATAGTTACATTGGTTAATCGCATCTCACTTTCCTCGTAGTTGTGAGTTCAATCTCTGTGTCAAGCCGTGAAAATCATTTACTTTTGCTTTGCGGAGCCAGCCGTAGTACTATAATAAAGATGAATTTAAAAAAATGTTAAACTGATACAAATTATCTCCCTTAGCATGGGCGGCTAAATAAATCGTGTGCGAAATTCCACACAGGTCATCAAATACACTGAAGAAGACGAGGCGTTACAACGGCCGAAACGTTATGATTATAACAATCAAGATGAGAAATAGATCAGAGTATTATATTTGTTTTCTTTTTTTTCTAACATATTTCCTTTTTGTGACTGTTTGTCTTTCTTCTTTTTTTTTCTCTATTTAGTTTTCTTATCTTCTTCTTCTTCTTCTCCTTCGCCCTTCCCGCCCACCTTCGACATTTGGTTCTTCCTACTTGAACGCAACGCCGCCATATTTCTTTTCGTCTTACCGCCACTTCCTGAAATTAATGATCTTTCTTCTCGCAGGGGGGAGAATAGTAATGATTCAACTATTATCTACTGTCAGATTTGCTAACATGAATTCCTTCTTGCTGCCATGCAATTTGACGCCTGAGATAGAGAATCAACCAGGTAAGATGCGATAGACTCGCATCTCGTTAATCACCAATTTTATAACTATTAAAATACACATATAACATTACACTATTACGCTAAAAATCCACACACATAAGAACACACAAGCACACACACACACACACACACACACACACTGAGATATCTGCTCGCACCCACACAGCCACATATATCTCTCTATATATATATATATCTATATACAGGATGCGATGGATAAATTGTCGTCTAAGTTAAGCAAACATGAAAATAAAACCGACATCTCATTTTAACATATATATTCACCAAAAGAAAGAGGCGGGGTTGACTAATGGTTAGCGGCTCGGATTGAGGAAACAGAGAGCCGAGTTCGAATTCCAGTCGAATCCATTACATTCACTTACGTGCTAATACCCTTGGGAAAGGTATAAATCCTCTTCTCCCCACTAGCTATGGGTAAATAGCAGGACAGATCGTGTTCTATAGCCTTGGATGGCAACTGGTCTACTGAAGAAAGAAATGCCGACCTTACTGCGGGGAAAAAATCTGCTTCGTCAGTCATGTATCGAAAGATACATGATCGCCTAAGCGTGTATCACGCATGGCACACAACTGACTGATTTACCAAAATAACTCAAAAATATCTTGAAATAGTAAAGAGTAAATTTATTCAATAAAATCGCCATTGACTTCAACCACGGCACCCAGACATCTTCGGAATCTCCTACAACTCTATGGACAGTCTCCTTGTTTATGTTGGTGAATACTGCCATAATCCTTGCCTTCATCTTTAGTGTTAGGAGTTTTGTTGGTGCCTCGCTCAACTCCGCCCCGCACATAATAATGAATGGGGTTGCAGTCTGAGGAGTTAAGTGGCCAGATGTAAGGAGTGATGTGGTTACAGAAATTGTCTGACAGCAAAGACTGGGTTCTTCTGCTTATGTGGCATAGTGCAGAGTCCTGTTGATAGACATAAGATCTTCCAGTAGCCATCCTCTTGACCCAGGGCAGCACTACCTTCTCAATGCACTTGATGTAGGCCTCTGTGTTGAGTCTGAGGCCCTGTGGGAAGATAAATGGAGGTGATCACTAAACACCTTCGTAATCACTATTAGACCCTTCCAACTCTTTACAAATCCTCTGCACTGTCCTCGGATTGACACACAAACCTTGGGAAATGTTCGTATTGCAGCTTCGAGTGCGAATGCCAAACAGTACAGCATACCGTTTCCAAATTTCTTGCGGGGTGCATTGCATCATGGTGCTCTTTTTCTCACAGATGGTGCCCAAACAAATCTGCTATAATGTGCAGTCGACAAAATCAAAAAGGAACAACTCGTATGCTCAATGTATTTCAAGATATTTTTTGTGTAAAGATGTGTCCTCCAGTGCGAGCACCGATCCCTCCGTCTAGTGTAATGAGAGGGCGCGGCATCGGGCAGCTGTTCTTCAGGGCTTGGGCACCTCTCAGTATAATTTTCCGCTATTGAGACTCTGTCCTTTGACGGAGCCGCCTCTGGGCGCACTCAGAGACGACAGAGATGAAACTGAGAGATGATAAACAATGTGTTACAAACCACTCCAGAGAGAGGTTTATTACTGAATATAGAATTTGTACAGCAGATTAAAATTATAAAAAATATATACACTTAATCACTACCTAGATTTATACCGTATGATATAATATGATATATATACTGTCATTCGCAGACAGTACTGTTTCGCTATATCACAGCTCCTCATTGCGACTAGACATCCGGATGCCTCAAGCCTGGATCAAAACTGTCTATATTTCTGAGATGAGGTATTATGTACATTATTTACATTATTCGGACTATTGTCCACATCTTTGTCGCCATATTTATTACAACCTTCGGCCCTTCAGTATCTGTCTATATTTCTGAAATGAGGTATTATGTACATTATTTAAAATTATTCGGATTATTGTCCTCATCTTTGTCGCAATATTTATTACAACGTTTCGGCCGTTGTACGCTCCGGCTTTCTTCAGGTGGTTGGAAAGTCGAACTTAACCCTTTTTTTTCGCTCACTGGGATAGACTTTATAATACCCAGAAATTAATACACAGATGTCCTCATTATACAGAAGAGCTTTGCATATATATATATATATATATATATATATATATATATATATATACATACATACATACATATATATATATATATATATATATATATATATATATATATATATATATATATATACGTATATGCAAAGCTATAGTAATTACTATATATATATACATATACTATATATATATTCATATCTGCTCATGGCGTATCCAAATGTAACCAAATGACATCACTCATTATCAAATGGACAATGTCAGACAATTATTTTAAGACATTTTCATGTTTATACATTCTTTTTATAGATACAAATATTTAAGTAAAATGCTCTGTTTATGACAAACAGTATTAACATTTACGGGTCTGAATGTCCGAGAAATCTTCATAGAAAATAATCGTCCTCCGGCAGGAATCGAAACTGTATCCTATACGGAACCCTATGTGTGACGTCATTTGTTTACATTTGGATACGCCATGAGCAGATATGAATGTACATAAGAGAATCATGGAAGATTGTAGTTTAAAGGCAGTAAAATCGACCTTGCTAACTGAACAATCCTCATTTGGCAAATAGATTAAAGGCACGTCAGGCTATATATATATATATATATATATATATATATATATATATATATATATATATAGAATAGAAAATTAAATATTTCACTCTACAAGAACTTGTAGGCTTTGTCAACACACAGGTGTGAAGAAAAAAAATAAAAAGATTTTATTTTATTTCTTCACATCTTTGTTTTGACAAATCCTACAAGTAAATTCTGAAATAGCTATTGAAATGGGGTAATTTTGATTTCTATTCTATGTAATTTAATTATATACGCTCTGTTTTAATAAATACACTGAACTCTATTTGTGGATCAGTTTTAATATTTTATATTAATACGATTCACTTGGATTATATACCAACGGATTATTATATTTTCTTTTTTGTGGATGGATATCAAAATCGGAAACTGTTTCTGGAAATTTAGTACACATGTGCATAGAATTGTTTTATCAGATAAGCACAATATTGCTGGCCTCTGTCAGTCAGTCGGAAGATAATAACATCTCTTACCAGGCGATTACACACAAACACACGCACTCGGACACAGTTATACAGGCACCCCCCACACACACATACACACACACACATGCACACACGAGTATGCCCACACGAATATGCACACATAAATTCACACATGCACAGGTACACGTAACAACCTAATGACGAAAAGACATTTATATGTGTAATATATTTCTATATATTTCTTTTTCGACATAATCTCCTTTCTTGCCAATGCACTTAATACAAACCTTCTACAAAATGCTACAAAAAACAATAACTCATTTCTAATAGCATTTTTCGGATTACAACAGTACATATATTTTCGTTGTCCTCTTATTACTGAGAGAAAAAACAAGAACAAAATCTATTCCATACCTGAGGATGTCTGTAAGAACAGACGAAAGCTTGTAAAAATAAGAACTCATGCAACAGAAATTTATAGAAACAAGGATCTTTTCATTCATAAACAGGTCGGGGTTTTGTATATTATTTGAATTGTTTGCGACGATGGATTTCTCACAATTAAATCATTAACCTTTGTATTTGTTTTTTTGTATGAATAATTCATGATGAATATATATATATATATATATATATATATATATATATATATATATATATATATATATATATATATCCATTGTTGTGTGTTTTTTTTTTTTGCATGTATAATAGTATATGAAACAAAAAGTGGGGATGATCAGACAAAGTGAGAAAGTTATAAACAACGGGTTTTGACGACGTCTGTTAGTTTCGACTTCTTTAGGTGAGAATGAAAGAAAAAACCGATTTGTTAAATGTTAAACACATTAATCTCTCTCTCTCTCTTATGCAGCAATAACCTGTCTTGACCTCGTTGTTTTAAAGATGAATCGAAGCTCATTTCAGAGATCTGCTTTTAATGCTGTTCAAATCGAGTAAAAATTAAGAACTTCTTTGATTTAATTACTTTCAAGTCGTTTTCTTCTGATGCACCTTCAATCTTGAATGACTTGACGAAAAACACTCTCACCAAAGACATCTCTTCTTATATGCATTTTTTTCTTTCTAAAAGAAATGACAATACAAGTAAATCGTATTGAAGTCTTTGGACGACGGGAAATAAAAGGTTTGCAATAATAATAATAATAATAAAACATTTATTTATGCTGACTAATAGTTACCATTATTTGAGATCAACTATTGAAGTTTTCGAATAAAACCATTATCAGTAATATTGATTTCTTTTTTCAGCTTACAAGTTTTACAATTTACAAAGACACTGAAGTTAAATATGCTTTGACCAAAAGTTGAATTGTAGACCAGTCTTTATAATGGCATAGGTCAATAGATATATTCAGAATTAAAATTGTAAATAAAATTTCAATGAGATTAACGTAAAAGTTAGATACTCGCAAAGAGCAATTGGCGCGTCGATTTTAATTTTTTATGCTGATTTTCTCACAAATACTGTAGGTAAAGATATAAAGAATAATACGAGATATCTTTAGAAATGGTGAACGGAATAAAAATAATCTAGCTCCATGTCGATATAATACTAAAAATATGTGAATCGTGCGTAAGTCGGCCGTCAGAAGCATAATGATTTAAGTTTCATTCCACCCCTCACTTTCCAACACTCCCTCTTTCCAACACTCCCTCTTTCCACCTCGCTCTCTTTCCAACTCTCTTACTCTGATTTAAAATATTTTAAGTGAATAAGATTTAAGAGAATACATTAAGTATTTTTTATTTCAACTTTCTTCAAACACACCTTTTTTTAATGTCGAAATCAACTTCAATATTAAACAACTTGACAGGCAGTTACCCAAAAGGTCACGAGTAGTCTAGTATTAAATAGATATTTCAGTTAGCCAAACTCGAGGATATTAGTATCTGTCTATATTTTTGTGATGAGGTATTATGTACATTATTTACATTATTCGGACTATTGTCCTCATCTTTGGCGCCATATTTATTACAACGTTTCCGCCCTTTAGTATCTGTCGATATTTCTGAGATGAGCTATTATGTACATTATTTACATTATTCAGACTATTGTCCTCATCTTTGTTGCCATATTTATTACAACATTTCGGCCTTTCAGTATCTGTCTATATGTCTGAGATGAGGTGTTATGTACATTATTTCCATTATTCAGACTATTGCCCGCATCTTTGTCGCCATATTTATTACAACGTTTCGGCCTTTCAGTATCTGACTATATTTCTGAGATGAAGTATTATGTATACCATTTACATTATTCGGACTATTGTCCTCATCTTTGTCGCCATATGTATTATGACATTCTTTATCCACTGTGCCATCTGTCCTCAAGGACACATGTTACATTTGATAAAGGCGTTAGTTAGATCCAGTGACAGGATCCCAAGAAGTGAGTTCAATACCTGGTTAAGGCAGTGGAGAACTTGGAGAGGGGAATTAACAGGAGATAACAGATAGCAGACATCCATTAAACATGGCACGTGGAACTAGAACAGTCTACCCCAGTGAGCGAAATAAAGGGTTCAGTTCGACATTCCAACCACCTGAAGAAGGCCGGAGCGTACAGCGGGCGAAACCTCGAGGACATTAGTCAGACTGGATTGTTTTTTTTTTGTTTTTTTTGTTTAACGGTATATCAACACCTTATGCATCATTTAATGCCGAATTTTAATTTTATCGGTTGCTTTGAAGGATATAAGTTGAATACTTGACAGATAATACTTAGCTTTTGTTTGTATGGAAATAATTACTAGAAGGGGTGATATGTGTGTTTTATGTTGTAGTTTTGTTTAAGTTATATTTTGGAATACAGCTTGATTTCTTTAAGAAATTGTAGGATAATTATATGAATGGAGGACGAAGAGTTGCGTATTGGATATTTGCGTTCCTAGACAAATGCATCCCTAGATAATTGCATACATGTAATAATTTTTTGGTAATTTTTTAAAAGATTTGTTTAATATAGAAATTTGCACACCAATACCTTTAATTACTAAAAGCAAGCAGAAACTTAGTCACCGTAAATAAAAAAGAGATGAATTTCTTTTTGAAAGCAAGAGAAAATTAAGCTATCAGTTTCATTTCACTCCAGCAGATTCTGGATTTTATAGATTATATTTTTATTTAGAACCCGTGGCTAAGGTCCGAAAATCAAACAATAGTGGAGAAATATCTGTGGACGACGAACATTACAGCTACCGCTATCATAAGAAAAACGCCGATGAAACAAAAACATACTGGTGATGTGTAGAGCGATCTTGCAACACTTAATCTGGCATTGCATTTTAAACAAAAATAATCTTTGAATTTAATTTTAAAAAAATAATATTCCTTTTTTAAAAAAATCTATACTTTTATCAACATTTATGGTGATTGCCTTTAAAAACTTCAAAAATTACCAAAAGTATGCAATTATCCAGAGACGTATTTGTCTAGGGACGCAAATGTCTAGGGTCGCAATTGTCTAGGGATGCAATTGTCCGGGACGCAAATGTTTCACTACGCAACTGCCCTATGGATCAATGTCATGAATGTTTTCTTTCATATTGGCTGTTTGATTGATTTTGTTTAGCGTCATGTCGACTTCTATGGGTTATTTAATGCCAAAATCTAAATATTTTGAACACAGTATTATGGATTCAACTAAATATCTTGAAAGGAATTGTATGCATTCAACTACAGATAAAATGTTTTGTTGGTCATTTTAGCATTAATGGTATTTTTCATAAACTGAGCCTTGGCTAGTAACTAGTCTAGGAGAAAAAAATTCTGAATTCAAAACCTGGGGTGGGGCTGAAAACTCCCCGCGCCAATAAAAAAAAATCCATTTGTTTTGAAAACTGCAAGAGCAAAACCTGGCTTGACGAGACTATGGCGCAATATATTTTACTGGAAAGTTTAAAGAAAAAAGCAAATTTTGTTAAAATTTAGAACTTTAATGTATTTACATTTTTCTAAGAAAGTTTTTCCACGTAAAGTCGTGTGTACGTTGATTTTTGAGGAATAAAAAGTCGAAGAATAAAAGAGAAATCGATCCGAATGCGCCATTCTTATATCCCCGTCGCAGACAGAGACACGTAGCTTTCCCCTAGGAGGGGTACCACAAAGAAGTGTTCGGGGCTCATTCTAAGGATCTCAGGCAGGTATTTTGGGAATATAGAAAACCCCACAAAACATAACACACACGCTCGCACACAAACATACACACACGCACACATACACATACACACATAGGCACATGCACACGCACTCACACACATGAACATACAGACATAGGCACATGCACACACACATACACATGCACAACATAAACATATATAGACACACATACAGAAGCAATGGTTATGTTTAATCTATTTTTCATTTAAATAAAATGGACATAACTTTGAACAAAGCGTTGGAAAAAAAGTTATTTAATGATATAAACGTTAAATTTCTTTCGTAAAAATGATTTTTTTCTTCATTCTTTTTCGATAATTTAGTTATTCAGTTTTTAAAAAGAATATTTCACCCCAAGCAAGGTGATAATGCCACTAAGATGCAATCGGTTACAAAACGTGAAATTGAACGAGAAGTTATTAGCGACGAGAAAGGACAATAAAAGAACATGTTTATGGAAGACAAAAGATGACGATTGACGTTACAATTACATTTTTCCGCAGTTGAGAAAAGAAACTAATAAAATAAAACTTATGGTTAAATTAAGCTAATTCAACAGCAAAGTAGTGAGACCTAATTGCCAATCAAGTATTACGCTTAAATTCATGCATTCGAGCGACCAAGGAGAAAAGCTCATTAAAACAACTGCAATGAATTTTCATGATTATGTGTGTGTCTAATGACTAAGTTTTTATTGTTTCTAAATTTTAGAAAAATAATAAAATAATTCATTTTCTTTCTTTATTTTTCTTTACTTTTCATTTTTTTTGATGCGATTGCTTTTCTCTTTGATAATGTCTCTCTTTCTGCTGTTGCTTTGCGATTATTTCCTACAAATTCTTGCTCTTAGAAATTGTCTTCTCATTTTCTCTTACGATTTAAGCCATCTTTAAATTTCTTTCTTTTTCTTTTTTTTTTGCTGTTGTTTTTACTTTTTTAATTATCTCTTTTCACATTCCTTTCTTTCTTTCTTTCTTTCTTTCTTTCTTTCTTTCTTTCATTTTAATGTTCATTCTGTCAGTTGATTCTCTTCTCTCTCTTTCTCCTTCTTTCTACCTTATTATCCATTCCATCTTCCTTCTTTTAGTCCGAGATATTATGATAGAAAATCTTAAGCTTTCTTTCTTTCTTTCTTTCTTTCTTTCTTTCTTTCTTTCTTTCTTTCTTTCTTTCTTTCACTTCTCATCATTCACGTTTTCTTTTCTCTCATTGTTATCTCTTTCTCGTTATTTTAAACTTTTTTCTTCCTTTCTTTTTTTAAGATTTGATCCTTCAATTGATTCCGACCCTTCACTCTTTTCTTCTTTCCCCTATTATTTCTCTCGTCTCCCTTTTCTTATTTTGCCGTGACATGTTAAGCTTTCTTTATCTCTTTTTTTACTTTTTTCTTTCCTTCTTTCTCTCTCCGATGCAATTAACTTTTGCACTTTTTAAAAAATTTTCCGTTACTTTTATTTTAGTCAAATTCTTTCTTTCTTTCTTTCTTTCTTTCTTTCTTTCTTTCTTTCTTTCTTTCTTTCTTTTCTAATTCTTGTTCTCTCAAATGATTCCAACCTTTTTCTCTTTCCCCTCTCTCTCGTTTATCTCTCCTATCTTCCTTCTTTCCATTCTCACTGTTTTGTCAGGATATTTTTAAGCGGCTCAATTCCCTTTTTTCGCCTCCATCCGTTTGCCTATAATCGCTTCTGATAGCAAAAGAATTTTTCCACAAAGACAGAAAACAAAAGAGTCAATGACGAAAAACAACAGCAACAACTCCTAAAGATTTCGATAGTTTAACGAAATTGTTGAGATTAAGCGAAATTTATCGCCGTATATCACACATTATCTGCATTACTTTCGGGAATATCTATTCACTTTTGTCGGGGTTTCTCTCCCGTTTTGCCTCTTTTATTTATTAGATTCATTCATTCGTTTAATTCACTGTTTTTGTTTAAGCAGCAGAACGTAATCTTTGTGTTTGTTGTTTTACTTTTTAAATTCTCACTCTTCCTGTTTTATTCTTCGCTGTTTCTCTTCTCATCCTAGCTCTCCTTTCTTACCTTGCTCTCCGCAATCCTTGCGCTCCTATTTCAAGCTTCCTTTCCTACTTGTAGTTATCCGTCTTTCATTCCCAACTTGCTCCGCCTTCTTATTATTCGTGTCTCCATTTTTCTCTTTCTGCATAGATCCTCATCCTCTTCTTTTGTTCATAGTTAACGGTTTACTTTTTCTTTGTTTGTTTGTTTGTTTCTTTCTTTCTTTCTTTCTTAACTCCGATTTCTTTCTCGTTGTTTTCCATTAATATCTCATTAAATTTTACTATATATTTCTAGCTCTTCCAGTTTTTTCTTCTTCTTCTTCTTCTTCTTCATTTTCTTTATCTACATCTTCATCATCATCTACATCATCATCTCCTTCTTCACCTTCTTTTTCTTCTTCTTCACCTTTTTTCTTCTTCTCCACCTTCTTTTTCTTCTTCTTCGTCTCCTTCTTCTTCACCTTAATCATCTTCTTCATCAGCATCATCATTATCTACATCATCACGATTGTCATCTCCTCCTCCTCCTCCTTCTTCTTCTTCTTCTTCTTCTTCTTCAATTCCTTCATCTCCTTCTTTTCCTTAATCTTCTTCATTTTCTTTATCTACATCATCATCATCATCATCTCCTTCTTCACCTTCTTTTTTTCTTCGTCTCCTTCTTCTTCACCTTAATCATCTTCTTAATCAGCATCATCATTATCTTCATCATCACGATTGTCATCTACTTCTTCTTCTTTTCCTTAATCATCTTTTCATTTCTTCGTCTACATCTTCATCTTCATCTTCATGATCATCATGATCATCATGATCATGATCATGATCATCATCTCCTTCTTCTTCTTCACCTTTTTTCTTCTTCTCCACCTTCTTTTTCTTCTTCTTCGTCTCCTTCTTCTTCACCTTAATCATCTTCTTCATCAGCATCATCATTATCTACATCATCACGATCGTCATCTCCTCCTCCTCCTCCTCCTTCTTCTTCTTCTTTTTCAATTCCTTCATCTTCTTCTTTTCCTTAATCTTCTTCATTTTCTTTATCTACATCATCGTCATCATCATCTCCTTCTTCACCTTCTTTTTCTTCCTCTTAACCTTCTTTTTCTTCTTCTTCACCTTCTTTTTTTCTTCGTCTCCTTCTTCTTTACCTTAATCATCTTCTTAATCAGCATCATCATTATCTACATCATCACGATTGTCATCTACTTCTTCTTCTTCTTTTCCTTAATCATCTTTTCATTTCTTCGTCTACATCTTCATCTTCATCTTCATGATCATCATGATCATCTCCTTCTTCTTCTTATTCTTCTTCTTCTTCTTCTTCTTCAATATCTGCATCTCCTCCTTTTCCCCTTTTTTGTCTCCTACTACTCTTTATTCTTGACTCTTTCAAAATTTCTTTCCTATACATTTTCTTTATATTCGTCCTTATTTTATTCATTTCTTCTTCACTCTTTCTCTTGTAACATTTTCCTTATTTTATTTTCGCCATCGTTTTTCTTGCATAGTCCTATTTCTTTCTTTTATTTTCTTCTCTTATTCTATTTTCGTCAGTGTCATTTATCCGTTTCTAAATTATCGTCTATTCCTTCTCTCTTTATTTTCCAAATCTTTCTTTAATTCTTTTTATTTTATTCAATCATCTTTCCTTCTTTCTCCTCCCCAACCTTTTTGTTTCTCGCTTTCCCGTCATCTTTTCCTTTCTTTCCCCTTCCTTTACTTGCTTATATCTTTTATTTTCTTCTTTTTCATATTCATTCGATAATTTTTATTCCGCTTTTTTTGTTCTTAGAGTTCCTCTTTTGTCATTTTCTTTTTCTTTATGTTTTCGTTCGCGTGTTACATTTACTTTCATTCATTCGGACAGACTGTTTTTACCTCTTTTACTCTTTCTTCATTTCCATTTTTTCTTTTCTTTGATTTTCTGTTGCTTTAACTATTCTTAATCTTTGACTTATTCTTCCCAGATCTTCTTCATTCCCCCTTTTTCTCTTTCTCTTTCTTCTCTAATTTTCTCTTACTATTTCTTTATTTACCCTTTCCTGTCTCTTTGTTTTTTCTTCATCTTCTCTCTTTCTCTTTTCACCTTTTCCGTATTACGTTTTTCTTCACCGTCTTTCTACTTCCTTGCTGTGTCCTTCTCTAATTTCTTATTCTTTTAACACCGTCCTTTCCTTCATTTAACAATATCAATCTCATTCTTTTCTTCCTTGACATTTGTTATAGTGGAACACACCTATTCTATAGTTAATAGAATATCCCACCTATAATAAGTAGGAGTAGTAAGAGCAACGAGTGAGTCGCTCAGGGGTTCGGTCAGTCAGTCGATGCCAGACGACCGTTAGTCGGATACTAAATTATCAGCGACCACAACTAGATTTACTCTGCGTCATACCTATTATATCAAGTTCCGTGTTGTACGTCGAATCTATTTTAGGACCGACTTAGTACAAATACAAGCCCCCACTGTGAAACCACTCCATAACAACATTTAAGTTCTTTTTTAAATTTCATTCATCAATGGAAATTCTTCTTAATAATACACCCTCCCTTTTCTTATTTATTTGCTTTTTTCGTTTGCTTTCTATTCATTTTTTTCATAATTTATCTTTTTTCTTTCACCTTCTTTATTCCACTCTCTTTTTTCTTCTTCCACCTTCTTTTTTTCCTCCTCTTTTTATTTTTCGTTCATCATCGTCCCATTCTTGCTTTTCGTAATTTAATATTTCTTTTCAGTAGTCTTACTTTACCTTTCCTTCTTTCTTTCTTTCTTTCTTTCTTTCTTTCTTTCTTTCTTTCTTTCATTTTTAAATTTCATTCATCAATGCAAATTCTTCTTAATAATCCACACTCCTTTATATTTACATTATTCGGACTATTGTCCACATCTTTGTCGCCATATTTATTACAACGTTTCGGCCGTTGTACGCTCCCGCCTTCTTCAGGTGGTTGTAATGTCGAACTTAACCTTTTATTTCGCTCACTGGGGTAGACTGTTCTAGTTCCACGTGCCATGTTTGATGGATGTCAGTTATCAGTTATCTCCTGTTAATTTCCCTCTGAAAGTTCTCCACTGCCTTAACCGGGTATTGAACTCACTCTCTTTGGAAAATTCGTAAACTTAAGGAATCAGCACATATGCTAGGCCACAAAAATCTCCTGAGCCGACCAAGCATAGAGATGAATACAATATGAGAACCAGTAATAATGAGTGCCAGAGAAAAGCGATAACAACAACAAAAGTTACAATATGAGCTCTGGTAAAAATATATTTTTATAACAGCAGAAAAGTGCAATATGAGCACTGGTAAAAATGGTTGCTGAAGATATTAGGTTTATAATACCCAGAAATTCATACACAGATGTCCTCAAGGACACATGGCACAGTCGTTAGTAAGATCTAGTGACAGGAGTGTGAGTTCAATACAAATAGTTTGAGTTCAATACCTGGTTAAGGCAGTGGAGAACTTTCAGAGGGAAATTAAGCCGAGATAACTGATAACTGACATCCATTAGACATGGCACGTGGAACTAGAACAGTCTACCCCAGTGAGCGAAATAAAGGGTTTAATTCGACATTCCAACCACCTGAAGAAGGCCGGAGCGTACAACGGCCGAAACATTGTAATAAATATGGCGACAAAGATGAGGACAATAGTACATAATACCTCATCTCGAAAATATAGACAGATACCCTCTTTTTTCTTTTTAATTTGCTTTTTTCGTTTGCTTTCTATTCTTCTTTTTCGTAATTTATCTTTTTTTTCTTTCACCTTCTTTATTTAACTCTCTTTTTTTCTTCTTCCGCTTTCTTCTTTTTTCTCCTCTTTTCATTTTTCCTTTTTTTTTTCTTTCATCATCGTCCCATTCTTGCTTTTCGTAATTTAATATTTCTTTCAGTAGTTTTACTTTACCTTTCCCCTTTCTTTCTTTCTTTCTTTCTTTTCTCTTTCCTTCTTTTTTTCTCCCTTCTCTTTTTATTGTTCTACTCTTTCTTTTGGTAATTTATCTTTTCGGTCTGTTGTCTTCCTCTTTATTTCCCCTCTTTCTCTTATTTTTATTTCTTTCTCTCTTTCATTTTCCGTCTTTGTTTTCTTCTTCCTTTTCCTAATTTATCTTTTCTTTTTTTCGTCTCCCTGTTTCTCCTCCTCTCTTTCTTTTTGCTTCTCCTCCTCTCTTTCTTTTTTCTTTCTTTATTCATCTTCATTATTTTTTTTTCTTTCGTCTTTCGCTTCTTCCTCTTCTCGTTTCTTTTCATTTTCTTTTTCCATCTTGGTTTTATTCTTCCTTTTCATAATATATCTTTTCTTTCTTTCCCCTTCTTTTTTTTCCTTTTTTTTTTCGTTCATTTCCGTTTTATATTTGGATTTCGCAATTTAACTTTTCTTTTTTGTGCCCTTACTTTACCGTTTCCTTCTCTTGCTTTATTTTTCTTTTTTGTTTTTCTTTTTTTCCGTCTTTGTTCTCCTCTTTTTTTTCGTAATTTCCTCTTTGTCTTCCTCTATTTCTTTTCCTTCTTTTTCCATCTTGGTTTTCTTCTTTCTTATCGTAATTTATCCTTCCTTCTCGTCCCCTCTTCCTTTTTACTCCGTTCGCTTTCTCCTTCTCTTTCTTTCGTTTCTCCCTCTTTCTTCCACCTCCTCTGTTTTTCCCGTTCAAATTCCTTGTCCCTGTCACTACGACCATTATCAACGCTCTCCAACTGCCTCTTTTAAATAGATTCAGAGCTTTATCGAACTGTAATATGTCGATAATCAAACAAAGGAGAATAGGAGGAAATTAATAGCCGTTAAAAAATAGATATGGAAGAGGGGAATTCATTTTGGGTCTTCTGAAGCTGGAAGATATCACCGCCACCGATTCCTGCCTCCACCATCAGCAACATCATCACTACTACCGCGACAAGATACAAAACCAGCATTGCTGTTAGTATTATATTGCTCTGTCGACCATAGTCACCGCCACCATCAGCCGCCCGTCCATTGTCTTGGCTATTATAGAATACCACCCCTACCACTTAATACTACTACTACTACTACTACTACTACTACTACAACAGATGGATTTCCCCACTATACCAATGTTCTGATGATTACTTAAGGTAATGAAACGCCTGTCAGCAAGCAATGTTGATTTTTCTGTTTATAATTAAATACGCTCCATTCCCTAAAGTTGTCACTCCTCCCTTATAAATATACCAGATTTTAAACAAAATGTATGTGTAAGAGAGAGAGAGAGAGAGAGAGAGAGAGAGAGAGAGAGAGAGGAGAGAGAGATTTGTTTTTTACGGCTTATCAACCTTTTGCAAGTTATTCAAAGCTAGAAAATATTTTTAGATTCTAAGAATTTTTTATTAGATAATAAGGTTTCGTGATACAAGTCTTACTAATTAACACATAGCTGGAGGGAGAAGAGGTGGATTCATAGCTTTCCCAAGGGTACTTTTGCGTAAGTGAATATATCGAACCCAACTGAAATTGGAACTCGGCTCTCCGATTACCAATTCCGTATCATTATCCATTACACCACCCACACATCCAAGCTTGCATCACCTGATATTCCCAAGCGGTCACCCATTTAGATACTTACCAGGCTCGTCGTTGCTTAACTTCGGTGATCTTAGAGGAACCGGTATTTTAACGTGTTATGGCTGTAAGAAGATAGATACACACACACACACACACACACACACACACACACACACACACACACACACAGAGAGAGAGAGAGAGAGAGAGAGAGAGAGAGAGAGAGGGTGGGGGTGAAGAGAAAGGAAATGAGAAACTGGAGGCTCGGTGAAGTAATGGATAGCGACTCGGATTGAGGAATCGGAGAGCCGAGTTCGAATTCCAGTCTAATCCATTACATTTACTTACGTTCTAATACTCTTGGGAAAGGTATGAATCCTTTTCTTCTAGTTGTGGGTAAATCGCAGGACAGACCGGGTTCTCTAGCTATGGATGGCAACTGGTCTACCTGCAGAAAGAAACTGAAACAACCTACTGCCGGAAAAAAATCTGCCTCGTCAGTCAGTATCGAAAGATACATGATCGCCTAAGCGTGTATCATTCGGTACACATTTCTTTCTTGCTAACGATTTTTTTCTTTTGCTTAATACTCTGATTAGGTACAGTGGAGTAATAAATAGCGGCTCGGATTGAGGAATCGGGGAGCCAAGTTCGAAGTCCAGTCTAATCCATTACATTCACTTACGTACTAATACCCTTGGGAAAGGTATTAATCCTCTTCTTCTTCCTCCAGCTATAGGTAAATAGCAGGACAGATCGGTTTCTATAGCCTTATATGGCAACTGGTCTACCGCAGAAAGAAATGGCAACCTACTGCAGGAAAAAATCTGACTCGTCAGTCATGTACCGAAAGATACATGATCGCCTAAGCACGTATCACGCATGGCACATAATTGACTGACTGTTTATTAATATTTAGATTTCTAAAGACTTTTCTTGAGCTGTAGTCCAAAAATTATAGCGTGCCTTCAAAAAGACGTTTTTCATCTGCAGAGTCACTATAAAGATTTACACCCCCACACCAACATAATCCCCGAATTCTACAATTCTTACATTCACCGCTAATGCTACCACCCCAGGTCAGGGTGGATCTGGGAACACCAGCAATTAAGAGGTGGTCCCACGCTCCTCAAAGCCTCCTGATCAGAGGCCTTGTTGTTGATCCAACGATCACGACTAAACATGACATTAAAATTAGTTTTCACAATTATCATACAGGTTACTATAGCAGGGGTTAGGTACTAGCAAGGGGTTAGGTACTAGCAAGGGGTTAGGTACTCATCTCCCGCAATTCAGGTTGAACCTAAACCGAAGTCTCAATTCGCTTCCTTCTTGACCTCTGTCTATGACACACTCTCTCTCTCTTTTGTGCTATGCGTGATACACGATTAGGCAATCATGTATCTTTCGATACATGACTGACGAGACAGATTTTCTCACGCAGTAGTTTGCCATTTCTTTCTGCTGTAGACCAATTGCCATTCAAGGCAATAGAAGCCGGTCTGTCCTGCTATTTACCCATAGTTGGGGGGAGAACAGGATTCATACCTTTCCCAAGCATGTAAAGTGAATGTAATGGATTCGACTGGAATTTGAACTCCATTCCTCAATCCGAGCCGCTATCCATTACTCCACCGTGCCTCTTTACTATTAATAATATTCACCTCTAAATTATTTTACAATATCTGTTTTCATACGTCTCTCCTCCTCGACCTTACTGCCATGAATTGCCCTACAGACAGCTTCGCTCTTGAGATCACCGTCAGACGCAAACCCTCTAACATAAGAAGGAACGATGATATATATTTTAAACTGGATCTCGAAGTGAACAGTTCGTTATCAAATGTACTATTAGTAATCAGTTATGTGCCATGCGTGATACACGCTTAGGCGATCATGTATCTTTCGATACATGACTGACGAGGCAGATTTTTTCCCGCAGTAGTTTGCCATTTCTTTCTGCAGTAGGCCAGTTGCCACCCAAGGCAATAGAACCCGGTCTGTCCTGCTATTTACCGATAGCTAGTGGGGAGAAGAAGAGGATACATTACATTACCAAGGGTATTAGCACGTAATTGAATGTAATGGATTCGATGGAATTCGAACTCGGTTCTCCTATTCCTCAATCCGAGCCGCTGTCCATTACTCCACCGTGCCTCCGGGTCTATGACACGACTATCGTAAAAATCATTATTGTCATGAATTTAAAAAAAAAATTCTGAAAACTTAGTTTTTCAATTTTTCCGGAAATATTAACTTCTAAAACTTTTAAATAAGCTTGAATTTGACTCTCACGAGACTTATTGAAACCCTGGGTATGATGATAAACTACACTCGGCAGCAAGATGATTTTGAAGTTTTGAGGAGTATGGAACCACATCGTGATTGCTGTTGTTCCCAGGTCCATCTTGGGTCGGGGTTTTCATAGTAAAAAAAAATACTAGCAATACATTTTTTAAAAATAAAATAATGGTCGCAAGAAAATTAAATTTAGGCATTAAATGACCCATAAGGATGTTCATATGCCACGGAGCAACCAGCGGAAATCAGTACCTACTTAACAACCTTGAGTTAATGGATGGCAGAACATGAATTAGAAGAGATAGCAAAAAGACATACCTTAACAAGAGCTACAAAGAACAGAAAATTGTGGAGAGCTGAAGAGATACGGCACATAGGATATATTCGGAAAATATATCCATAGGTTAATTTCCAGAAAATAAGTGCAGTGATACTTCGGCTTAATTCGTTCCGAGTTAAGTCATTCTCGAAGATACGTCGGTTTTTCTTAAATATTATATGGAAAAATAAAACTCGACTTACGTCGTTTTACTCGAGTTTATCTCGGCCATTAAAAATATTAGAAACGTCAAAACACTAAAACAATAAACACACATAAAATTATATTCAAATAAATTTTAAAATAATATTATGTATACTATATATATATATATATATATATATATCATAGAATCATCAGAAACAAAACAGTATAATAAAGTATGTTCAGCAGATGTTCATATTTCAAATTCCTGCCGACAGGCGGCACTCTTGCATTTTGCCGCTCCAACACCGATTTTGAATTCAGACTGGTTTACATCTGTGCTCTGCCGTTGACGTTCTTACAATTATATTTCAATTGTGATTTAGAATGCATTTTTGCCTATGACTCGGAAGAAAAGTCCCAGTGCAAGTGCTAATGCGAAGCTTAAAGCGATATCGCTGGGAGATAAGGTGGAAATTAATTATTTTATTCAGAATTCTGTACATACATATCATAAATACTGTAACAGGCAATGAGGGAGTGCTTATTTGCGGTTTACAATGTGGTTATTTCGACTTAAGTCATTTTTCGACCTAAGTCGTGACCTCTGGAACCAATTAATGACGTAGAGTAAAGTATACCTGTACTAACAAAAAAACAAAAAAAAAAAACAAAAACAAAAACAAAAAAAATTAAATATGGATTTTAAAATCGAAACAAAAAATGTTTCTGTCTATATTTCTGAGATGAGGTATTATGTACACTATTTACATTATTCGGATTATTGTCCTCACCTTTGTTGCCATATTTATTACAACGTTTCGGCCTTTCAGTATCTGTCTTTATTTCTGAGATGAGGTATTATGTACATTATTTACATTATTCGGACTATTGTCCTCATATTTGTCGCCATATTTATTACAACGTTTCGGCCTTTCAGTATCTGTCTTTATTTTGGAGATGAGGTATTATGTACATTATTTTCATTATTCGGACTATTGTTCTCATCTTTGTCGCCATATTTATTACAACGTTTCGACCGTTGTACGCTTAGGTGGTTGGAATGTCGAACTTAACCCTTTATTCCGCTTACATGGGGTAGAATTGTTCTAGTTCCACGTGCCATCTTTAATGGGTGTCAGTTATCAGTTATCTCGGGTTAATTTCCCTCTGAAATTTCTCCACTGCCTTAGCCGGGTATTGAACTATCACTCTTTGGGTCCTGTCACTGGATCTAACTAACGCCTTTATCAACTGTGCCATGTGTCCTCGAGGACATATTGTAATAAACTATAGGCATATTAACGATGTGGACTCGCTCCGGGGAATTAAGGCTGCTTATTAAAGTTATTGATTGCAACGATAATTAGAATTACAGGGTCTAAAACAGTGGTCGATAATCTGTGGTGCACGGATCAAAATGTTTGATTGTCCGCAGAAAAATTGGGACATTATTTCCATTTTTATGAAGTTTCAGATTAAAAAATGACGATTAACAAAACGTATTATGGATGGTATATATGTTGAAGACCTTATGTAATTTCGAAATAATCACTAGTACACAAATATGACATCTTCCAGCCATAGTATAACTTAACATGACTTGCAAAGTCATGTCCAATACTTGGTACTGAATAGTTTCTTACCATTGCTGTTCCGTCCTGGGTAAGACAATAAACTACATCCGCGTCCAGGGTAAGACGATAAACTACGTTCAACAACAAGGCCTCTGATCAGGAGGCTTTGAGGAGCGTGGAACCACCTCTTAATTGCTGGTGTTCCCAGGTCCACCCTGACCCGGGTGGTAGCACCTGTTAGAGTCCCAGATATGGGAAAATAGTTAACCCCGAAACTGAGGTAAAAAACGTTATGAAAGTGTAAAAATAGGTTTTAATACCAGAAAAACTTTGTAAAAAATTATTAACAGAAATAAATTTTTGAAGAAAAAAAAAACTATTATCAGCAATACGTTTTTTGTTTTTTTTAAAAAGCATTACCAACAATATATTTTTGAAATAATATTACCAGCTATACATTTTTGAGGAAAAAATATTACCAGAAATACATTTTTGACAAAACAATATTACTAGGAAAAAAAAGTTGTTGGCATTAAATGACCCATTGAGGTTGATATGCCGTAAAACAAACAAACCAAACCAAGTAACTAATTTAAAAAAAAAACAACTTCTTACGAAAATAAAACCATCCAAGATAGTAAATTTCCTAAAATAATTTGGATTGTGCAAAGCAATATGAGTAATTGAAAAAGGGTTCAAATATATATGTATACATACACACCTTTTTTTTTTTACCAAACTCTCGCTATGAATCTATGTCAAAATTTTGTTGGCATTAAATGACCCACTGAGGTTTTGATATACCATTAAACAAAACAACCAAACGAACCAACCATTACTGTTGATAACTAGTTACTGGATGGTCTACTAGTATAATTTTCTATGAACCTGGCATAGCAACGGAGTAATAGTTGGATCTTCAAGGATCGATTTACGCACCAGACACAAATTCATGAGCATTCGTACTCGAAATCTAATTTTGTAAAATATTAAAAAAAAAAAAAAAATTTTTAGTGAACGTTGAAAATACAAATCGCCATAAGAGAAAATGGAACAAATATCATACTAAAAATTTGTAAAACTTGAATAAATTTCAAATTTTCAATTTCTTTTATTTAAATAATTACACTATAACTTTGTTACTATTTAATGGGTGCATTTCATATTAATAAAATAAAATATTACCAGCTATACATTTTTGAAAATAATATTACCCGCGATACATATTTAAAGAAAAAAAAATATTACCAGAAATAGGTTTTTTGTAGGAAAAAAGAAAAATATTACCAGAAATAGATTTTTTTTGAAGGAAAAATATTACCAGAAAGATTTTTTTTTGAAAAGTGGATCTATTTGTGTTTATTTGTGTTTGATTACTTGCATGCGATGGAAGGGAGATTGTCTTCCGTGTTTGTTTGGGATGACACTCTCACATACATAGACACACACACATAAAGGTGTATGCATTTTAATTCGTACAAACACACCCATATAATTAATCTGAGATTAGGCGCAGATACACATCCAAGCATTCGAGGATACATATATATATATATATATATATATATATATATATATATATATATATATATATATATATATATATATACGCAATTGTCGTTCTATTTCTGTGTCGGGTCTGTGGCGTTACATATGCAGCGATGTCCTCTTAACAAGGAACAGGTGGGGGTGGTCGTGAGGTTTTTTAGATCGGCCATCCGCGCCGTCAGATAAGCTCACATTTCTTCACACATACATGCACACTCATTGGTTTAGGTCCAGGTTACTAGATGCTTTACTAGTATAATTTTCTATGAACCTGGCGTAGCAACGGATCTTCAACTTGGATCTTCAAGAATCGATTTACGCATCAGATACAAATTCATAAACATTCGTGCTCGAAAACTATTTTTGCAAAATATTAAAAAAAAAAACAAAAAAAAAACACCCTTTTTAGTGGACTGCAAATTTTCAATTTGTTTTTAATTACACTTCAAATTTTCAATAAATTTTAAATAACTAAAGTTTTTCAATTTACTTTTAAATAATTACACAATAAATGTGTTACCTTTAATGGGTGAATTTCATATTAATAAAATAAGTTTTCTGTTTATTATTATATAAATGTATTTACATTATTTTTTCTAAATTCATATTACTGGTCCGCCAAATTTAAAATTAAACATTGGTGGTCCATGAAGTTGAAAAGGTTGGCGACTGCTGGTCCGAACAATGTAAATATGTAGTTGATATTTTATGATCGTCGCCTTTTAATTCCCGCTCTTTATTGAGAAATTCACCCTTACGTAAACTTACGCATTTTCCGAACAAGAATTGTGGCTGCATCATCATTCGGATCATTATGTTTATGACGAGCTTTCTCATCACCATTAATATGGCTCTAGTTATCAGTATAACGCAATGGAAGCCGTTTTCAATTTTAATACTATTTCCAATACATCCCGTTTTTCGAAGGAAGCCTCATTCCCAACCCGCATCATTGCGCCGGGAAATTGATTAGAGAGATACCATTGCAAATATCCACTGCTATCAAATAATTACTTTCTTTCAAATGACCCTGTACCAGACTATGATAAGATTTATAAATACCTACTCACGTTCTAGGCATCTTTCTTTCTTCCTATCTTTCTTTTTTTTTGAATTACTATATTCTCCCTTTCTGTTTCTTGTTTCTTTTTTTCCGTAACCCTTTTTCTTTCTGTCATCTTCCATTTCTTTTCTTTCATTGCTTCTCTATAGATATTCTTTCTTTTTTCCTTTCGTTCTTTCTTTCTTTTTCTTTCTTTCTTTTTTTTCTTTCTTTCTTTCTTTTTTTGAATTTCCATTTCTTTCTATATTTCTTTTTTCTTTTGAATTAACCCTTTTTCTTTCTGTCATCCTCCATTTTCTCTCTCTTGTTTCCCCGTGTTATTTTTCTTTCTTTCTTTTTTCTTTCTTTCTTTCATTCTTTCTTTTCTTTCTTTTGATTAGCTTCTCTCATTTTCTTTCTTTTTGATGATTTTGTCCTTTTCTTTCTTTCTTTCCTTCACTCTCATTGCTTTCTATCTTTCTTTTCTTTCTTTCTTTTCTTTCTTTCTTTCTTTCTTTCTTTCTTTCTTGTCACATATCTACTTCCTCACCCTCTCTCTCTTTTCTTGTTTCTGCTTACCTTTTTATCGTATTTTTTTCTCACTAATTTCTTAATTCTCTTTGTTTGTTTGCTTGTTTCTTTCTTTTCCCTTCCTACGTTTCCTTAACAATTTTGAATAAAAAAAGGAAAGAAAATTAATAAGAAAAAAGGCATTTATTATGGCGTCCATTTGAAAACGGTTCCCCAGTCGCCTCCGGTTTCATGTTTCTCCATTATGAACAGGTAACAAACAAGTAAGGCGCTGTCGTTACGTACAAACGAACACTCGATCCCCGAACCACTTCAAACCATTTACTGCAACGGAAATTATCTTATTCTGATGACTCTTTACTCGGACCCAACCTCTGCCTTTCCCTCCATTCTTATACCCCACATCTCTCTCTCTCTCTCTCTCTCTCTCTCTCCCAGCCTGTCTCCTTATTTGCCTTCTAATCATTTTCTAATTCTTTTGCAAATCTTTTTAGATTTATTCAATGTATTTATTCTAATACTTTTATTTTTCCTCTTTGTGCCTTCCATTATAATAATCGTATTTCTTTCTTTCTACCTTTCTTTATTTCTTTCTTTCTTTCCGGCAAGCTTTCCTTCTTTCTTTCTTTCCGGCAAGCTTTTCTTTCTCTCTTTTTTTTCTTTCTTTCTTTCTACCTTTATTTATTTCTTTCTTTCCGGCAAGCTTTCCTTTCTTTCTTTCTATCTTTCTTTCTTTCTTTCTTTCTTTCTTTCTTTCTTTCTTTCTTTCTTTCTTTCTTTCTTTCTATCTTTCTTTCTTTCTTTCTTTCTTTTATCAGCCAGTTTTTCTTTTGACTTTTTTCTTCATCTTTCTTTGTCTTGTCTTGTTTTTTCATCACATCATACTTTCTTGTATGTCATTTATCTTCAGTTTTCTTCTCTCTTCACTTCCCCTTCGAACGTTCTTCCTTTCTTTCTTCCTTTTTTTCTCAACCATTCTTTCTTTTGGCCTTTTTTTCATTCTTATTTTTCTCGTATTTTTCCAATAAATCATCCTTTCTTGTACTTCTTCTCCAGTTCTCATCTCTCTTCATCTTCATCTTCTTTCTTTCTTTCTTTCTTTCTTTCTTTCTTTCTTTCTTTCTTTCTTTCTTTTTATTATTATTTTTTAAACAAAACACAATACTTTTTGTTTCTTTTATCTTCCTAACCAACATATTAGCACCAAATCAGTATTTTTCGCAGGACCGCGAAATAAATAAAACATATTCATGTGTGGCTTTAAGCAAACAGCGTTAAAGTCTATTGGATTTGTGTAGAATGGGTGCGGTAGATTCCGTGTTCCCAAATACACTTGCTCTCACCCGCATATCTGTGTCATCTTGTTTTACAGGCTCTCGACGAAATTAGGACGCAACTCATTTCAAGGGAGAAAGAATTTCACCCACGAAATTAATAATGAATTTTTAGAAATTAAATATCAACTTGAAATGTGGAAATGTCAATTTCTCAGAAAATGTCATTTCTGTGGGAATGTCTGTCGTCTATCGATAGTTACTCTACCATTTGAAGTCGTCGAATTGATATTGTTTAGTCGAAATGAATTTTAGCTGATAATAAATGCTTGTGAATAATTTTTGGTCTAGATGTTGCGAGATTAATACATAGATTGAGTTGTATTTTACGGCTTATCAACCCTTTGTAGCTTACTTAAAGCCGAACCGTCCTGGGGATGACGATAAACTACATCCCCGTCCTGGGTAAGACGATAAAGTACCTCCATCCAGTAGCCAGGCCTCTGATCACGGGGTTTTGAGGAGCATGGAACCCCCTCCTAATTGCTGGTGTTCCCAAGTCCGTTCTGTCCAGGGGTGGTAGCACCTGTTAGGGTCCCAGTTTTGGGTAAATAGTTAACCCCGAAACTGGGGGAAATCACTATGAAAGTGTAAAAATAGGTTTTAATACCAGAAATACTTTGTAAAAAAAATTATTATCAACAATAAATTTTTAATGTAAAAACAAATATTACCAACAATATGTTTAAAAAAAAAAATTACCAGCAATACATTTTTGAAGGAATAATATTACTAGAAATAGATTTTTGACAAAAGAATATATTACCAGCAATAAAAATGTTATCGGCATTAAATAACCCATTGAGGTTGATATGCTGTAAAACAAAACAAACCAAACCAAACTTAAAGCCGAAATATATTTTTTGGATCGTAAGGATATTTTTTCGCGAGGAATAATAATATTTTGAGAATAACAATTATTTCCAGATACACGTTCTATTATTTAAAACATAGGTAGTGTCAGGTGGAATTCATATAGAGATGTTCACGAATTTGCCGAAAAATGGCAGACTATGATGAAAAAATTTTGTCAAATTTGGGCCATTTTTTATCACAGTAAGCCATTTTTTATCGCCAAATTCGTGAACATTCCTATATGAATCCATATCCTTTAGCTATTTTGACGGTAGAGTTTTCAAAATATTTATTATTAAGAGGAAAGATCAAAGTGTTTTTGGTTATTTACTTTAGTAAATTTTTAAATCCTTCTTAGAACATTCAAAATGTTGATAAAAATCTTGTTTTTCTTGTGTCAGCGGATGGACTATAAAATAACAAAATTTATCATCTTTTTTGTAGTGAAAAATAAATTGATTTGGAAATTCTGGCAAAAATGAAATAATTGTCATATTATAATTAAACTTTCAAGACTTATTCACAAATGAATGGTATTATATGAGAACTGAGTTTTTTTTAGAAATTATTTGTGAAAATATTTTTTACATCTTTTTTTCCATTACATAATTTTATGAATACTCGAGAAATTCAAAAATGTAACTTTTATTGATTATATTAGTTAAAAATAAAAATCATTGAAGAATTTAAATCATCAATCTATGTTTTTAAAATCAAAGGACCGGTTACCTAAAATCAGCTCTGAATTGTAACATAAAAAAACAATACAACTAGGACATTATTTAATTAGAAAAACATTTAATTGCTTTTATGGATAACATCGGTTGACATTTTTTCGACCCTAATGTTGTTGGGCAAAGGGCACATGTTTCTGAGCTATTTTTTAAACGCTGAATCTAAAAATCAAGAACATTTTTCCACATCACATCATGTTTTCTCAGTACAAATAATTTCTATTTTGCTTAAAATAGGCCAAACTGCCTAATTCACAAGGATACACCACGGCTTAAATATGTGAGTGACACTGTTGAAACATTTCATGTTAAAATGATTTATCATTCAAGGAAAAGTATCCAAATAACTTTCAAAATGAATTCTACGCTATTTCAGTTCAGATAAGCTGACCTGAAAATGCTTGATTTTATGAGAGATATCTCACTGGAAAATGTTCTTGTGCCCTCAATGTTCTTAGCTTTTTAAAACTCTATAATTTGTGATTTTTCCTACTTTTCATGGAAGAAGATTTTTAGAAGTCATTCAAGAACAGCAATTTTAGTTTTTATTAGAAGTTTTCACATTAACCCTAAAACCGTCATAAGATTTTATCAGATTGAAGGTAACGTATTGTCATGCAGTCTCTGTATAACATGCATAAGAACATCGATAAATGAGGGTTGTTAGGGTGTTAGATGAGTATATTTGAGACTAGCAAGATTAGAATTTGCTTTATCAGCGCTTAAAATAACCTCTAAACACAAGACAGGCACAGTCAACTAGGCATTTTGTGGATAGGATGTTAATATGATGGCTGATTTCCGGATGTAGCATCAAAAGAGATAAAACCTTTTCAAAAGCACCTTAGAAATTCCAAGAAGAGAAGATTTTTACCTTTGGATGGACAAAAATGAATGTATTTTTTTTATTCCTTTATATCTTTTTTGTCTGTTTCGATTTAAAAATTGGTGACACATTTTTGCCTTAATTTAATTTTATGCGAGATTTTCTGTAAACATTTTCTGAACTGAAAATGTTGAAAATGCAGTCTTTAAGTTATTGGGATACTTTTTCTTTTATGATGTTATTCTAACCTAAAACTATTAAGGTTGTTTCTACTTGGCCCTAGCATATCACTATTAAATGGGTATTTTGGCATATTTAAAAAAAGAAGAAATTATCTGTAAGGAAAAGACGTGATGTAATGGGAGAAAAAGTTTCAGCGTGAACAAATAACCCAGAGATATGTGCCCATTGTCCAACATTTGGAACGAAACAAAATGTCGACCGTTGTAATTAAGGATTATATTATCTGAAGCAATTTTTCTGATGTAAAATAAAAGTTTTACAAGAATTGCTTGCTTTTTTTTTACAGTTTTAATTACAATAATGTATAAATTATTTTAAAATTCAGTTTCTATTACTAACTTTCAGGAAATACTGTTATTAAGTAAAACTATTTTACTAATCATAAATCTAAACACTTAATACAATCTGCAATCTAGCAATATTTAAAAAAGGAATTTTAAATAGTTTCTGTATGTTCATTAACATGCACTTTTTATATACGGATGTTCATACATGACATTATAATTAAAAAGTCACGTGTTTTAAGAGTTGTTTAAAATTTCATAACTGAGATAATATAAAAATTAATTTCCCTAGGGTATTTGCGCGTAAGGGAATGGAACGACAAATAAAATGATTGTTGAAAATTTTCTATCAAAATTGGAGTGTATTTGTTCCGAATTATACTATATAGGAAAATTATGTAAACATGTATATAATGGTGAAACACGTTAACTAGTCTTATTTCTATAAACCTTCCTTGGTAAAATCTGTATTTGCATCTGTGTACTCGATCATGTGATTCGGTGACGTATTTAGTCTCGTAATTAGTAACGTAAAGTATTTTCAATTAACTAAGATTATCGAATCTGAAAAAGAGACCTTTGATCACCGTGACCATGACCATATTTATTCACGCTCAGGATTGATTGTATTTAAGTAAATACAGTATAAGTAGGACTGCAAGAATCAAACAAATACAGAAATTTAATTATCTGGGAAGTGTATAAGAGAGGATGAAAGATATGACACCGAAATCCGAAAACGAATTGGAAAAGCAAAGTATATCTTGTAAAAGCTAAGAAAAGTAATAAGAAGCAGGAAAATTTTATTAGAAAAAAATGGGAATCAAACTTAACCATTCAGTAAATACCATTGGGTGTATGAAGACCCTACAAAATGTTTTCTCTTAATATTTAGGAAGTGGCAGCTCTAATTTTCATCCTTAGTCAAATAGCTTTTTGTATACCTATATCAAGTATCTACAAGTAATTTCTGGCTTTAGACATCATATTTGCTCGGATTTTTTAAAGTTGTCGGCGCACTGCTTTCTCGGGGGATTTACGCTCCACTTTGGAGGGCTCTTCCTCGGCCATGCCGTTGTTGGAAGATATCGTTGAGGTTTCTGTAACAAGCTAGTTTTTAAATGAGTAGGTTGATAATTCTAATTCACACCCCACCCGCCAACCTGGAGGACCAGGGTGTGTCTTTCGTCTGGCTCCTACCCCGCAAACCTGTTGTGCTTGGTTGGACCTGCTAAAGGCCAAAGACCCCGCCCACATAGCTCTGGAGGTCGTTGAAGCCACGCAAGCCGTTTTACCACGTCAAGGTGACGCAACATCAACATTGAATTTAAACAGTTTCGTTTGTTTAGTGAAAATAAAAAGAGATCAATTCTTGCTTATATGAATTTTTGAAACACGCGGCGAATTCATTTTTAATATCTAAAAAATCATTTTTATTTAGTCTATAAAAACAGGAGGAACACTCGACACAATATATATATATATATATATATATATATATATATATATATATATGTGTGTGTGTGTGTAGAAAAATAGGAAAGAACACGTCAGGTAAATAATCCGGAGTTCTTTAGTATTTTTGTTTTTATTTTTAAAAAACAGTGCTCCAAAAAAAGTAGAGCTTAAATTATAATTATTTAAAAAAATATGATTCCTTCGCTACATAAAATTCTCATGTTTCAAAACGATGGCGAAAATTTATGAAAACCTAAATTTTTCGCTTGAGAATGAAACAGGGCTTATACTTTAACTCAATTTAATTTTAATAATTATATTGAGGTTTCCGGCTCTCGTTTTTTTGAAACATATGAACTCTTATGTTGCGAAGGAATCATATTTTTTTAAATATATATATATATATATATATATATATATATATATATATATATATATATGTGTGTGTGTGTGTG